AGTTCATGATTAACTGAAAGAATATTTATATTTAGACTTGTGGTATTGAGATGTTCATAGAGAGTTTAAAACTGATCCAAGGCCATGGATTGATATTGGTTAGTTGATTGTGATTTTGAGTAAGGTGTATAAAAACTCATGGAAATAGTTTGCAGCAAGTGAAGGCAGTGAAGAGGCCGTTGGTCAGGGTAGTGATTGAACCAAGGAGGGTACTGAAAGACATAGAAGCAAAATCGGAGCAGTTGAAGAGAGCGAAGTGGTAGATGATCAGGTTATTAATGAAAATGTAGAGGGTATTGAAGGGCATGGAAGTGGACTGGATCAGGTGAAGGCAGAGAAGGAGGAGAAGAGCATATTGATGGAATTGAAGATGAGTGTTGGCCAAATACAAGAAAGAGGATTGAGGAGTTGGAGATCAAGCTGATAAGAAACTCAATTGAAAGAGAAATTCAGGTTCATGGAGAGAAGGTCCATCAAAGTAGCATAAATGGAGTTGCAGAAGGAGGGTTAGAAATTGAATTTTGGTTTAAAACATATACGTCGAGAGATTGAAGATGGAGGGGATAAAAAGTTGGTTGTACAACAGAGAGTGGAAACTATTGGATCTATAGGTGTTGTGGTTTGCAACTACCACAACCTATGTTTATGTTAAAACGATGAATCGTTGATTGATCTACTAAAATTAAGGTCGATTCACTATTCAAACTAATGGAACCTGTAGATGAGTGTCTAATTTTGCACCTCATTACTTTGATCGAGTCTATTAGTATATTGGATGTAACTCTAATTTTTTTCATGTGCTCTCAAGTTTTGATGGTCTCATTTTAGTTGAGTTGTTAGCATATGATTTACTTGAATCAACAACTTTTCATTTCTGTTTCTTTTTATAAATCCATTTCTTTTTTCTTAGTGGCATGTTATTCATAGAGGAGAGCTTTGAACCATTTATGTGGGATTGTGAGGTTTCATTTCAGTTTCAAGCTATCTATGGATCGTGTGGGAATTCCAATGAGCTTTTATATTATATATTTCTCGACAATCTATTAACCAATATCATTTTAATGGGGGCTCAATTATTATTATGAAAATGGGATTAATGATACATTTTTATATTCTTAAATGAGGAGGGTATTTCCCTGAATGTAAGACCTATATATTCATTCTTTATGTAACATCTCAATTGAATGATTTTCAATAAACTTAAACAAATTAATAAACATAATATATAAATATAAATATTGAAATATGAACATTCCGGCCTACGAGCCGGGTTATAAGATAGTAAATAAAAGCCAAATGAGAAAACTTGAAGTCCCATTTCAAATTTCCTACATCTAGGTAATGAGATTTGAACTGTGGTGTTTTCAAACAAAGATAAAAAACATAACCAATTATAATAAACACATTTGTGTGATCTTTTCCAATTAAAAACATACAGGAAGTTTAAATCTGAAAAGCATAGGACTTTTTCACCACGTTTAGCAAACGAAACAAAGACTATCCTGATTAGTGTTAACATAGGGAATATCTTCAATCATACCACTTTGCATAAAATTTATATGTAGGAGCTGAGATCATTGTCGAATTGAACTATTCAAGCTATAATGTTGATCTTTAACATATAAATCATGGTTTTTTTTAGTGAAATAACCTCATGATTGCATATAAGTTTTTACAATATGATATTTCGTAGTGGTCCCTTGCTTCCAGATTTATAAGTGGGGTTCTAATTACTATAATATAAAAAGCGCGAGTGATAGCAATAGTTGGAGCATATACAAGATGGTTTGATATCCTTCTCTCTACAAGGAATAAATAAATGGTGAGCATATGTTATTATGGGAAGGACAAACCGAACTCTTTGTGTTTGTAGTATAGCAAGTTGATATATACGCATGCCTAGACCCAATCGATTAGACATATCCACCTTGAATTTATTGACGAGATTTTTGCTCATCAAAACCGCGTGCCAAGTAAGCTTCCTCCTCGGTCCTTATATTTTTCTTAATCTGCACATGCACACCCTCATAGGAAACATGTACAAAATTGTAATTTAGGTGCTTCATTAGTGTTGTTTCCATAAGATTGTATTATCTGATGTGGTTGTTCTAGAACTGTGAATCGTGATTGTATCTCCTCTAACAAATTGTCAGTTAAGTTGTAAAAGAGGCTAACCTGAGCTTCCTCTTTAATTTAGATGGTAAGAGAGCAATGACCCATGTCAAACTGATTGGGGGTTGACAATGTCTAAGAAACTGTTTAGCCTTCTTCAGAGTATCACAAGATCCTGATAGTATCTCAACCAAAACAATTTTTGTTTTCATGTCTGATGTTGATACAAGTTGTTTACCTAGAGGAGAGCCCCAGTAAGTTAGCTCTTGGAATTGCAATGCGAAAATGGGTAAGGCAGAAATGGTTCATACGGTCATACATACTATGATCATATAGAATGCGTTGGTAGAGATAGTCATCAATCTCATTTTATTGATGAAGCCACCAAGGAGAAGATAGAAATCGCCATTGGTACTCTAAATTTTACAAGGTTATTATAATGATCATTCCTTTCATTTCATGTAAATTTGTATTATGACTGAAGTGATATTACCCCAAGCCATAAATTGCAGCAAGGAATGGTCATTTGAATTAATGTGCACTGATGCAAAATGTCATGTAACTGCCAAGAAGAAGGAGTAAGAGTGGACAAATCAGTGTGTTTGCTATAGACATGGGCGGACCTAAGAAGGGGCAGGGTGTGTCGTCCGACACACCCTCGTCCGAAAATTTAGTGAATAACCAATATATTTTTTGTATAAATTTTTTTAATTTGGGACTTGCGACACACCTCAAATAATTGTGAGCGACACACCTTTATTGTACGAGAATGATTTTCTTATTATATATTTATTTATCTTAATTAGTAATAAACAATAATAAGTCAAATAAAATAAATATGCTTATTTTAGAGTAACCCACACCACAACCCAACAATGAAAAAAGTATAAATAATCTCATCCTTTGAAACTCACCGTTTCCACCCCTTAACTCTTCCTTTGTTGAAAATAAAAAATAAAATAAAAAACTCATCCTTATCTCTTTTTAGCGTCTAATTACAGAGTTCAATTGCCACATCTCATTTTCTTTTATCCTTTAGTTTACTTGCTCTTGAAGTTAGTGTTGACTTTACTTGTTGCAATTGCAATGCGTGAAAGAGCATTTTAAGCTATGAAGATAAACAAGAATGAACTTCGAAATCGGTTGAGTGACCAATTTATGAATGATTGTTTAGTTGTGTATATAAAAAAGGATTTGCTTCGCAACATAAGCGATGAATGTATTTTAGACATTTCAGGACATGAAAAGTCGTCGTGGTTCGTTGTAAACATGACATTATGAACTTTATGAATTAATTTCTAGTAATTTAATTTAATTTAATTTTTTTAATTATTATTTTATTTCATCGGCGACACACCTCTCCGGTAATTCTGGGTCCGCCACTGGCTATCGAGAAGGATCGTGATAATGGGGATGGTTCATGACGATTGACATATACGGATTGAAGTGATAAAAAATACAGAGTTGTAAGTCATTTGTGTGTTTAGTGTAGCAGAGTGGTTAGGAGTAATTTGGTAGGATTTTACAGTGATAGGGATATTGACAAAAGTTATTATGTGTTGGTGCCTCCACACATATATTGCTTGCTTGTTTCTTTTGTTTGTATATGAGATTTCTACAACAGATTGTATGCTTTGTATTTCTTTTTTTTTTGTCATTTTAATTAACAAAACTATATATTAGAAAAAACTGGTCGGCGCATTCCATCGATTTGATTTGGACATTACTGGTTTATGTTTTCTCAGCCAGGGATTCATCGCCATTGATGTCACCGTGGTTTTTGGTCTAAGGGAATTCCATATTGGGTTTTTCTTATGAAATCTCTTGGTGGCTTTAATTTTTACCATCGATAATTGGAGCCAGGTAAGCATTTATTTGGTTTTTTCATGTTCACTCTAGGCCCTAGGGGCATATGGGTGCATGGCAATAGTGGCTATATTTAAGGCTAATGACTTGGTTTGGATTGTTCATTATAGTGTTTATGTTTTACTGTTTTCTTTTGTAATACAATGAGATAATGACTTTCCATCATATTATTATATATGGTGTTGTTGACCTACCTCCGGCCATCACTGCATATATGTTAACGGGTAATATCAGTTAGAATCTAAAAGTCTACGTCCGGCCAAAGACCGGGTAATAAGCTAGTCAAATTAAGATTTGTGCAATTTTTTTTATAACATTTGTGCAAAAAATTTACTGAACTTTGATCCTTTATCTCTTTTAAGCACTTATACTATAGACATTTTTCTTTAAAAAAAGAATTATCATTATTGAGTACTTAGGGTTATGATCGATATTGTAGACAACCTCCTTGGAAAAGGAACTTATTAAACAAAGTGGATCTGGTTTGGTTTTTTAGGCATTAACATTTGTTTAGACTTTAGATATAAGACCTAATATTTCAACTTTGTTGGCTCCCTTTATCAAAATGCCAAGGGAAGAACATAGTAGAAAGTGGCGTGCAAAAGCTTTCAAAAGCTAATGATTCCTTAACCCAAGGGATAAAAATGTGCCAATTCAAGTTCACATAAACTGATTATCCTAAACCCTACACCTTCTACCTATCGAAAGGTGATTCCTCTATCTAGCTGTATAGCAATAAATATGAGTGATGGGTACAAAAAAACTGAAGTTAAAATGAACAGTCGTAGCCGTATCAACGGCTTATATTTTTATTAAATACTAGTTTCACATGTAATTCTAACTACCACCGTTCGGAAGTTGAGAAGGAACAATGTCCCTCTTAGGTCTACAACTACAACTGCTTCTATCTATCTTTTCTCGTTTTGTATGAAACAACTGCATTAAATATCTTACAGAAAAGGAAAAAAATATAAGTCGTTGAAAAATCATAACAAAATCTGTTTTGTCATTGCAGTCTATCGATGCCACCGGATGTGAACAAAGCAGCAACCAGTGTGGAGGTGTGTGGTTGCATGAGCATGAGTGATACAGTGAAGGAAGGAAGGGCAGGCAGTTTGAAAGGCCATTTCAGAGATGGGATCAGGAGAGTTAGGATGATCGATGCTGTTTTTGAAGAGATTCATGATGTCTCTGCTACTAATACTATATGGTTCTCCTTCCTTTGTTGGCTGTCTGCCCTCTGTATCTGTAAGAAGGAAAAGGTAGTCGTGGTTCTGATCATGACTTCCACTTGTGATCACTTGTTGGAACTTGGAAGTGGGGAGAAGACTTGTGGATTAGTATGGGCTCTCCAGTGCCTTCCTAATTGTGTAATTGACATTTAGGTAGCAAAAATGTTATATACTTAAATTTACTGAGTAAGTATTAAATCGTAACTTTGAACCAAACCAATAAGTATTGACTCGAGAAGCAGAACGATTTATGCGTTCTGTAGTTTCTTATTCGGACTAGATTAATCTGGACTTAACTGTCTTGGCGTGCTAGTGAGTAGCGAATAAAGCATGCACGTTATTAATTTGATTCCACGATCGGCAGTCTCATTCACATATGTAAAAGTTTATTTTCTAAACATTTGTTGACTCTGGCCCGGTGAGAAAAATGGGTCACACACATCCGTCGGGTCGACCGCTACAAGGTAACGGGTTGGAGGTCAAATTGTGTCATTTTTTTATTTGGTTTGCGAAATGCGCATATTTTCCGATTTTTCTTTCTGCCTAACTCAATCTTTGGAATCCTAAGTTGAACATTTGAATATATATGTTATATAAGTGTGTGTGTGTGAATTTTCACTATATGTTGGATCTAAGTACGCCATGTTATTTTGGTGGAATATTATATGTTATAACTCATATGTTAGATGAGATTTAATATAATTTATCAGGATAAATACAATATAATGACTCTTTACATATTTTCGGGTTAAACTGGGCTAAACCTTGATTGAGAGGGTCATTAATCAACAAAACACTTAACGAAAGTGCCAAGATGCAAAGAGTACCTTTTTGGAGGGCCTCCCTCCCTCACTGTCCTTAAGCTAAGTGGCAATGAACTTTGGGCTTATCGGGCCCATCTCTCCCGCCCGTATTTCGTTTGTGGGTGGGCCCACTTACATATCCCGATTCTCTCCTCTCTCTCCCGTTGTTGTTTTTTTACAATTCTCTCCCGTTGTTGTTGTTGTTGCAGCAGTACGAGTAGGGATGACAATTAAACCCATGGCCGCGGGTATCCGACCGCCCCCGACCAAGTCAACGCGGGGAATCCCCGCTTTGACCGAGTATGGGGCTGGTATGGGTAAAACCCGCAAAAAGTTTGATGGGTATGGGGCGGGTATGGTTTTAGCCTCCCCCGCCCTATACTCATCCCCATACCCGCCCCACCAAGATAATTTCTTCATATATAAAAAAAAATGTGCATCAAATTATAATCTATCAATGATGATGAGGACAACTTGAGAAAATAAATAGTAGAAATGCAATTGAGTGACCACCTTAATCAAAATCTAATTCATTTCTCTCAATTCTCATTTCACTCTTTCACTTTCCCCCCCTTGTCAACAAGATTATGTTAGTTAATTATTATTTAGTAGATGTATCAGAGTTAGAACATAATAATTTGAAAAATATTATACTCTATATTATGTATTAATGGATATTTTAGGATCATAATCTTTGAACCATATTAAAAAAATGACCGTGTTTTGTTGAGTTCATGATATAATATGTTCGTTTAGAGTTATAATTAGAACTTCTCTTGTAAGTTTTAGGTATAATAATGTTGGATGTACGGGTATGGGTATTACCCATGGGTACCCGAAACCCACGGGTATGGGGATGGATTTGCAAAACATTCCCCGCATGTGTATGGGGCAGGTATAGGTTTGGGTATTTGAAGATGGGTATGTGGATGGTTTAAGCAAACCCGCCCCAAACCCGACCCATTGTCATCCCTAAGTACGAGGGCGAAGGGGCTCTCTGGTTGTTGAGTTTGTTGAAAGAGGGAGAGAGAGAAGGTTACAACTTACAACTTACGACTACAAGACGACACTCGGATAAATGACACAAATATTGTTTTTTTTTATTTTTACCACCAATATGGTGGATTAAAAAGTATTGACACAAATATTGTGTTTTTGTGTAGAGTCATAGGTGGGGACGTTGGAGACTAAGGTGAGGCCGCGTTTCTAAAATTTTTAACCTGTCTGAGGCGCTGGCACCTTAGTCTCCAGCGCCACCGCCTATGACTTATAACCTATTTTAAAAGCGTTACGGGCCCTATCCCTTTCTCATCTTCTCTTCTTCTTCCTTCCTTCCCCCCTAACACTCCTCCCGAACCATAGCTCCGCCAAGCAGCAGTCACAGACGCCGTCGTTGACCAAGGCGTCGTCGCCACAGAGACAGGAGTCGTCGCCGCAGACAGAAGCGCCGCCGCACCAGACTGAAGCGCCACCGCCTCGGATATGTCGTACGGCGAAGAAGAAGCTATCGCCGGCAGAGGCAGGGGGAGAGGCCGGTAAGGTCGTGGAGGTGGAGGCCGTTTTCGCGGTGAGGGTCTCGCCGGCGACAATTTTATTTTTAATTAATATTTTTGTTTCTTTGTTTTTGCGGTTCCTAGGCTTATGGACCCTTATTCGATGAGACTACCGCGCGGCGACAATTGATCCAGCTCCGGTCGATCCGGTACTTATTTGGGCAAACGAGGTAAGTATTTGATAATTATTCATGTAAAGTTAATTAGCTAGTTATATTATTTTAGTTGGTGAACTGAACTGTACTGAAATTAGAATAGGATTACGTACCAAATTTTTTAAAACTAGTATAATTTGAGATTAGATAAGATAGATTAGAATTTATTAGGTGAAAATTAGAATTATTACGAATGAAATTGAATTAATATAAGTTTTGTGCACTATAGGCTGGTGATCGATCTTACCATGTTCGAGGTACGACCAATTTAGTGATGTACCATGAGCTTTATCGGCCATATCTCGAAGCGGCTGGCTTGTTTAGTGTCGTGCCCCTGGTCCCTATGAACTCCGATGCGAGTTTGATTACTGCGCTCGTAGAGCGGTGGCGACCCGAGACGTCGACCTTCCATATACCGTTTGGTGAGATCACGATCACGTTAGAGGACGTTGTTACACTGTCCGGTCTGGCAATCGACGGAGATGCCGTCGTAGTTGATATATCGGATGAGAAGTGATCGACGATCTGTTTGAGACTGTTAGGACGGGTTCCGGCTGATCTTTCACGGGGTGTCGGTGTCGTTAGGACTGTTTGGCTAAGGGATGAATTCAGTCATCTGCCGGGAAATGCATCACAGGAGGTTATAGAGCAGTTTGCACGAGCTTATGCTCTATCTCTGATGGGAGGTGTACTGTTCCCGGATCGGTCTGGAGCTACGGTGCACCTACAGTACCTACTTCTGGTTGAGGATTGGCAAATAGCTGGACGGTTCGCCTGGGGAGCTGCTGTTTTATCCTACCTGTACCGTGAGATGGGTAGGTCGGCTTTGCACATTACGCATTCCGGCACTTCTCTAGGCGGTGACCTTGGTGGATGGGTCGCCCTACTGCAGCTCTGGGCGTGGGAGCAATTCCCACATCTGGCACCTCGACATTCAGAGACGAGGGCACAGATTTCTGAGGATGCATCCCCACGTGGTCTTCGATGGATTCCAGCCAACACTCGTCGGTATGGTGACCAGCTATTCCAGTACAATCTGTGGTTTGACGCGATGGACACCGTGGTGGTTAGTATATAACATTCCATTTTATAGAATAGTTTTCATTTGTTTTTTTTTTTAGATTTAGGGATAATAACGTTAATATTTTTTGTGTAGTGGCAACCTTACCTTGAGAGAGCACTTCATCTCAGAGGTAGTGTGATACAGTCTGAGACGTTTCAAGCAGTAGTGCCACTTATCTGCTTTTCATCGGTGATGTGGCACCATCCAGACCGCGTGCTCCGGCAGTTTGGCATGAGGCAGCATTAGCCTCATCCGCCAAATCCTGAGGCTGAGGTTAGGTTTTTTCTTCGTCAGACTACTCGTGGGCCATCGCGTGGGCAATCCATCTCGTTGTGAATCCTTGTAACTCGTGGCCTCCCCGGCTTCCTAATCATGTGCACATTAGGAAGGAGCATAGGACCATTATGCTTCTTCCAACCCTTAGCTTCACCAAGAGGTGTGAAACTTGTCCCATAACAAGCCAGCATTATTTCCAGCTTGTAGACATCGTTTACAAACCTATACGGATTAGCCCCCATTCGGTTGCAAGATGCAGTGGCATGAGAGCAAGGAATTTTATTTCCTTGAAATTTCCCATAGGTGCAAAATCCCGCCCGGTTGTGGTCGTCAAAGTGCACTGTGAGTGTGTTTGACCCCGTCATGTTGAAATTGTTGGGAAGAGTCTAAACTACATAGATGCCTTGACGTCGATCAAGAGCTTTCACGGAATGTCCAACTGCCTTTTGTGACCACGGCTTTATCAGCTCTTCGCACTTGGTGGAGTACTGTGAAGGACCACTTCTAATTTCTGCTCCTGTCTCCAACCTGTACTTATCGACTTTCTCCACCAATCGCCAATAGGTATGTTGCAGAAGAGAAGCTATAGGAAGTGCACGAATACCTTTGAAAACACCATTGATGCTTTCTGCCATGTTGGATGTCAAGATAGACCAACGACACCCACAATTGTAGTTATCATGTGCTAAACTCCAACGAATCTGATGTTGGTCCACCCAGTTATCACATGAAATATTTTTATCAGTGGCCACCTTCTTAAATTGCTCAACTTGACGATCAAACTTCTCCAAGCGTTTTTCTCCGGCTAACAAAATAAACAACCACACGGGTTAGATAAATTCATGACAAAATTACATGAAAATAAATAACAAAATTAAATGAAGAAGGCTTACCGACTCGAAATAGTTGCTTATACATAATTCTACTTTTAGTCTTCCTTTGCAAATTGCTTGCATAGTGTTGCATGCACCACCTCCACTCCCAACCTCTTCCGATGAGATTCATGGCTTCATAGAGTCTTGCATGTCTATCTGAGATGATGCAGACATCATTTCGATCAGTCAAACCCTGAACGTGACTTATGAACCATGGCCAACTATCAGTATTTTCGCTCTCCACTATGGCAAATGCAATTGGAAAAATCTTCTTCCGGCCCTCAAATGAGCTCGCCATGAGTAGCACTCCTTTATACTTCCCAGTAAGAAATGTTCCATCAACAACCATGACGCCTGGACAATTCTTGAATCCATCTATACAAGGTCCATAAGCCCAGAATACTCGCTGAAATATCGAATGACCTGGTTGAGTCGAATGAACTCTTACCCAATCAATTACCGATGTTGGCATTTTTCTCTTGCCCACCCGCAAGAATGTTTGCAAAAAATCGTAGGATTCTTCCCAATTTCCATGCAACTTCTCCAATGCTCTTTGTTTCCCATACCAAGCCTTCTTGTAAGTAACTTGCATATTAAACTTATCTTTCAACTCGGCCTGCACAGTTAGAACACTCGGATTTGGTTGGGCACGTACCAAATGTTTAACGGCCTCAGATATCATGTCGACATCAAGATGGCGATGATCCGTCGGTTGAGTCGTACTGCTACAAGAATGCACCAACTCAGCCTTTCTCACAGTCCATTCGCCTCGAACATCTCGACATCCAAACTGCACCATCCAAGGACAATTGTCATCCTTGTGCCTCAAGCATCTGACCTTCCAGATTGAAGGTGACGACTCCACCACACCATATTGAAAGTTCGTTGTAGTGTGTGGTGTTTAATCGTCATCTGTGTAGCTTGTTTCGAGTGAAATATCTGCCCCTTGTAGAATTCTCCTTCAAAACTATCAACAATAGGCATTGGAATTACGCCATATGAATCAGCAAGTGATAATTCTTCGTCCTCTTCATTACCCTGCAAGTAAAAATATGGAGGATAATTAGGCTGCTCTCCTTCCCCCTCTTCCTCCTCCTCCTCCTCCTCATCTTCCTCCTCTCCGTCTTCACCGTCATCATCTCATAATGAAATAAAACACCATTCTGCCATTCTAGAAGACGGTAAGTGAAACATGTGATCACATCACTATCTTGTACTGCTTCGTCTCTACACCGTATTCTCGGAATTAGATTCTCACAAAGTTTGTGATATGTGACCCTAGATGGAACCGTCAACTGAAAACTACTACCACCAACGAATTTGACGCCCAAATTATCCTCTACTTTCTCCGATTTCCACCGAACGACTAGTTCAAATCTTCTAAAATCACTACAAAAAAACAAACTCACTAATTAAAACTAAACACAATCATAATAGTATTTGAATAATATAATTACAAAAATAAATGTGTCTCTTACCTATTAGTCATTTTTGCAGCAGCAACCAGAGCTCTTCCTCTATCTTGGTCGATTTTTTTTTTGTGGTGTGAATAACTGAAACGAAATTCGCTGGTTTTATAGGGGGGTAGCCAGCAATAAGCCAGCGGTGCCACCTTAGTCTTGGGCGCCAACGCCTATGACAATTTCCCACCAACTCACCTATGCCTCAGGCGGTGCCACCTCAGTCTTGGTCGCCGCCGCTGTCATCTTAAAAAAAACGATCCAAAAAGACAGCAAAAGCGGCAGCACCTGAGTCTCAGGTGGTCTCGCCGATTTTTTTCTCCAAAACACAATATATGTGTCAATACTTTTTAATCCGCATATTGGTGGTAAATTAAAAAAAAAAAAAACAATATTTGTGTCATTTACCCACGGCACTCACAACTCTTTTCCTTTTTGTTTATAAATTCGGAAATGGCTTTCAACAAAGGACACCATTAATTAATTAGAACTTGTCCGAAGACACCTCTCTCTAGTCTCTATGTGCCAAAGTCACGCTTGTGCGATGCCAAACTCATGTAGTATTTGTTGTATACACTTGCGATAAGTGAAAAATAATCCATCATCATGACCAACGAACCAGCTATAACGAACCGAGAAGGAGAAGTTGTGCGATAAATATATGTTCTTGATTGTGTGATTGTCATGTGTATCAGATGTGTTACAGAAAAGAGAGATAGGAGGGGAATGGTTTAGAGGAATTTTGTATTGCGATGTCGTTGTGGTACATCGAGAGGCTAGGGTAGAAGTGGTCATCGGACTAATTCTGGATATTTCGATAGAATTTGAATGGAAATTATGGTATTTAAAACTGTGAGCTTCGAATGGTTAGAAGGAAAAGTTTAGATGAATCTCGAGATATATCTAAAAGTAGATTATGTATTTGATCAGTAATCATTAAAATTTTATATATATGACTCGGGCTAGTGTGTGCCTAATGTATACTAATCTTACCATACACCTACTAGTGATTTTATTATTATTTTGATCATGAATTTCTTGGATTTGGGGTCATAATATTAATATTATACCGTAATTTCTGATGGAGTAAATATTATGTCATAATTCCTTAAACCAAATCATAAGACTATTTTAATAAAATAATAATAACTGATTTGTGGAAATATCGAAATAGATCTTATGTGTTAGACATAGACATGTTATACCGGAGGTGAAATTCCCTCCCCCGCCTTTCCACTCGGCCTCCCGTCCTAACTCGCCGGAAAATTAAATAATTCATATCACATCAGTCTTTTTTTTTTCAAACATTCCTTCACTTTAATTTCTAAGACAACGAACAAACACCACCCACTACTTTTTTTTTCTTTCTCCTCCTCTTTTCATATTATCATATCGCATTTTCTCAGCAACCAAACAAAGCAACGACCAAAAGAAATCTCCCAGTTCCGTTGCTTTCCTCCCTGTACCCTGTTATTTTAAATCTTTTTTTTATAAACTTTTCCTGCCTTCCATTTCCAAAACGCTTCAAAATCCGAGAATTTTTTTTGGCAACGTTTGTCGGGAACGGGCACCGCTGCGTTCTCTCTTCCATGGCTGCCAACCCCAGCCCACAGCCACACCCCAACACCTCGAGAAAGCGATGATACGTTCCGTTCCGTTCCATTTTACGGTGTGCCCGCTCGGGGGTCGGGCAGGAAGTTTTCCCGCGAGAAAAGGGGCTGGTGGTTGGTTGGCTGGCTTACTTCCAGACCAGTTAGTTGCTCGGCCACCACAAAACAAAACTTGTGTGAAGCCCAAAGCTGAGTAAACCTAAACTAGTGCTCAGTTCTCTCCCAAAGCTGAGAATCAAATAAAAAGGCTTAATTGCAAGTTTGGTCACTCGAATTGCTACAAAATTTTACGTTTGCCACTCAAATTAATTTATTTCATTTATAGTAACTTTAATTAGTTTAACAGTCCAAGTTTGATCACTGGCCGTTAGTCTCCGTTAACTTTTGCTGATGTGGCGGTCAACTCTTATAGTTGACCGTTAAATTAGTGACGTGGCAATTAAAACATTAATAAAATAAAATAATTTAATTATTTTTTATTTTCCACCTAATTATTATAAAAATAAAATCTAATTCCTTTTAATTGTTATTTTCCACCGCCCGTAGCCGTTCCTCTCCCCTCAGGTCGACGACCTCTCCCGGCCGGCCAAGCCCTGCGTGGTGGAGGAGAAGTAGGCGGTGGCGGAGGAGGAGGTGGTGGAGCGGTGGCTTCGTTGGGCGCGTAGTCATTTAACGATCGAAGGAGTGCCATATTCGGCGGCGGCAGTGGCCCCGAGAATTTCGGTCTTTTGGAGTGATACCAACTTGGCTACTCGTTGGGCTGAGCTCCACTCTCATGCGGCGACGGCGGCCGTCGAGTCGGAGGCTCCGATGATGGCTTCTTAATTGAAGTAATAATCACATGCTTCATTTCGGGAGAAGAAACAGAGGAAGAAAACCTCGATTTGGGAGGAGTTCGGAGCTTAGTAATAATGAACAGAGGAAAATCGGGAATTTTCCACCTCTCGCCAAACATTCATTGATCATACAATAAGAAATCCAAAATCATACAACTACACATTTCCTTCCTTTGATGATCACTCAATCGACGGCGTCGACACATTGGACGGAGGCTTCGTCTCAACCTCGGAAGACGACCTCCTATTGTTGTCGTCGCCGTTGGTGTTTTCGCTCTCACTCTTCCTCTCAACGGCGGCGCCATTGGGTCGAACGATTTTCTCAATCAACCTCACCACTTCATCCATGGCGGGCCGCATCTCAAGAGCCTTCGCCGCGGAAGCCAGCGCGATCTGCAGCATCTACACCATATCTTCCTCCATGCTCTGGCTGCTCACTAGCTCTGCATCGAAAACCTCTGTCGTCCACTCCTCCCTCACCACCGATCTCACCCACCTCGGTAGATCCACCACCTCATCGTACACACCACCTCTGAGGGGACCTCTCATCGGAGCTTTCCCCGTCAGGGCTTCCAGCAGCAGGACGTCGAAGCTGTAGACATCGGATTTATGGCTGGGTTTCCGGGTCTCGATCACCTCCGGAGCTCTGTACCCCATGGTGGCCGGGAAGTTTATCAACGGAGCTAGGCCCACGTCGGAGATGCAGGCGTCGCGGTCGGCAGTGAGGAGGATGTTGGAGGATTTGATGTTTTCGTGGACATATTTGGTCCCCCCGGCGGTGGAGGTGGAAAATTGCCAGAAATATTATATTCAAAGAAAATTCCCAAGGCGAGTTCGGAAATCGACTCGGCGAAATCGACAGAGCAGAGTAGCAAAAGCAACGGTGGTGGGGGGTCGACCACGGGCGGAATTCAGGAGGCCCAAGACGATGATGGTGCGGGGCTTGGCCGGCCGGGAGAGGTCGTCGACCTGAGAGGAGAGGAACGGCGACTGGCGCTGGAAAATAATAATTAAAAGGAATTAGGATTTTTTTATTTTTATAATAATTAGGTGGAAAATAAAAATAATTAATTTTTTAATTTTTTAATTGCCACGTATCAGCAAAAGTTAACGGAGACTAACGGCCAGTGACCAAACTTGGACTGTTAACCTAATTTAAGTGACTATAAATGGAATAAATTAATTTGAGTGGCAAACGTGAAATTTTGTAGCAATTCGATTGACCAAACTTGCAATTAAGCCCAAATAAAAGACAAAATTTCCTGCTCAATACAATATTTTCCCTCCTCCTTTTTTATAAGAAAAAAGTTTTTCAGATTATGATTCCTTCTATATAATTAATAAGAGGGTTTAGGAATGACAATAATCTACACAGAATAAGATGAACAGATCATTACTTATACTTGCTTTTGAAAATGAATTAGGACATGTCGATCGATTTCATTATATATGTGTAGAAAGAAAAATGTAACGAGCCAATTACCTTATAAAAAATAATAATACAAATACATGGTATGAAATTGCTTGGATACAATTAATCAAGGACAACAAGACAATCAAAAACTAGATGTGGAATACCAATTCAAAACAAAATCAGATTCGATCAATCAAGCGGATCAATTTGGAGACGAGAACTAATTTTTTCTCTTAGTTTTGTCATAGTCCAAATCTATTATTACAACTACATTTAAAGCATAGGTGAAAACTCTACCAATTCATTTGGCCAGTTCTCGAATCCAACATTTTGCTGGGTTACGACTAGGGATGGCAATGGGTCGGGTTGGGGCGGGTTTTGTCAAACCCAAACCCAAATCCATGGGTTTATCCGCCAAAAAAATTCGGGGTAAAACTCGCTGGGTTTGAAAAACTCAAACCCAACCCAACCCGCTGGGTATCCGCGGGTTCGTGGGTACCCGTGGGTATTTGTGGTAAAAAAATTACAATAACAAGTTTCTTTCAAAATAAAAGTTTAACAATAATTTTCTCATACAAATTATTCATACAAAAAACACCAATCTAGAGCATACAAGCAAACCGCTAATGATAAATACAAATTGTTCAAAATTAAAGATAAACATCTATAAACAATAAGATTAATTGAAAGCTTCTTACTCGTCAACTAAGTTTCTTCACTCTCCACTTCATAATATCAACTTCATTCTAAACAATTAGAAACAACAAATTATATATGTCTCCACAAACATAAAGAATATGAATTGTTCAAGGAAGATATATTATTTAGAATATTAAATATACCGGAAAAGTAATTATATGTGTGTGGGCGGGTACCCATGGGGCGGGTTTACCTAAACCCAAACCCGACCCGGTGAATAGTGTAGCGGGTTTAAACCCGAACCCGGCCCAAAACCCGTCAACGCAGGTTTTACCCGCGTTGACCGGGTTGGGTCTGGTGAGTACCCGTGTGTTCGGGTTTTGTTGCCATCCCTACAAAATATGTTGTCGGTCGTCAACTAAAATGGATTGGTGGATCCATGGATCAAATGGATTGGATCAAGTGGATTGGTGGATTATCCATGAACCGGAAGAGCAAAAACAAACACCACTCTCAGTAAAGTAATAATTGTTTTCCACCTTTATTTATTCACTTACTTATTGCTGGCTACCAGAGAGGAAACAGTACTCCATTGCATTCTCTCCCTTTCTGCTCGCTCTGCATAATATAACCAAACAACAAATCTCCCCTCTCCCTCTCCCTCTCCCTCTCCCTTCTTCTTCACACTCACAACGTGAATTCCCACTCTCTTCTTCCCAACCTTCATGTCTGTGCCCTTGGAGCATGATTACATAGGCTTCTCGCCACCACCAGCAGAAGACACTTCCATGGAGAAAACAGGGGATATCAAACCCATCTCTGCTCTCACCATGAACATGAAAGCTACCGAGTTGAGGCTCGGGTTACCCGGGTCCCACTCCCCCCAGCGAGACGACAACGGCAGCCCGGAGCTCTGCATCGCCCTGCCCAGCAGCAAGTCCTCTGTTTCCAGGCCCAAGAGGGGCTTCTCCTTCGCCATCCATGGCGGCTCCGGCAACTGGGTTTTCTCCTCGCCTGACACCAATTTTTCCTCTCCCAGAAACAACCCATCCGCCGTTGCGAATTCCGAGTCCGGTCAGGACGGCGGGCTGCCGAATCAGTCGTCGCCGGCTGCGCCGGAGAAGAAGAACGGTCAGGCTGCCGGTCCAGCTTCTAAGTAATTAATTTACTCCCCATCCCGTCTCTCTTTTTCTTTGTTATGTTTCCCCTGTTTTCCCTCTGCTTATTATACTGAAATTGAAAATTTGGGATTTCCCTGTCTTTCCTCTGTTTATTATATTGAAAATTGAAAGCTTGGGTTTCCCCTGTTTTCACTCTGTTCAGGGCACAAGTGGTTGGATGGCCGCCAATTCGCTCGTTTCGGAAGAACACCATGGCTTCCCATCCTAGTCCGAAGAACAGTGACGTGGTGGAAGGAGGCGACCACCATCCACAGTCTGGGGGATCAGCATCATCCTCATCAGTTTGTTTGTACGTCAAGGTCAGCATGGACGGAGCGCCGTATCTCAGGAAAATCGATCTCAAGACTTATGGCGGCTACAAGGACCTCTCTCTTGCTCTCGAAAACATGTTCAGCTGCTTCACTATTGGTACTGTTTATAGTATTTTTATTTTCATTATTAAACAAAGATCCCCTTGTTCTAATTTTACTTTAGGAGCTGGTTGATAAAGTAATTGGTTTTGATATAGGAATTTCTGGATGTTAGGTTGATGAACAGGATAGATGTAAACACCGTGTTTGTATCTAATTAGCTATTTGATTGACGATCGGTGGTTGTAGTGCTAGAAAATCACGAGTCTGATGGCTGCGAAACAGTAAACTAGGCATCAACACAGTGTTTATACGTGCTAAACCATCCGATTCGTGATTAAATAGTTACGATACACGCGGGAAAAGAGAGATTATGGTATGTTTACGTTCTGCACTCTCTGATCTGATCGTAAATCCGACGGATAAGGAAGTATAAACACGTGCTTATGTGTTCCCAAGCCGGATCTGTTAGCAAAAGAGGTAGTGGTGGTGGTGGTGACTATGCATTTGGAATAAAGGATATTTGGAAGTGATGATGTGATTAGGCAGAGCCATTAACATAGTTGCTGTTTTGCTTTTCTTAGCTTTCATGATGTCTTATCACCCATTAACAAAACAGTAAGCATCATTGCTGGTTCCCCTGGCCCAACTTGTAGATGCGTGTGAAGACATAATGATATAGATGCATGCTTGGATTCTGATTGATCTAAATGGGATCTCTTTGTCTTCTCACTTTCTTTTCTCTGTTGTGCAACAATACAATGGTGGTCGGGGTTTAAAGGTCAATGCGGGTCTCATGGCGTTGGTGTGGGAGACGGAGTGAGCGAGAGCCGACTGGTAGATATTCTTCATGGTTCCGAGTATGTACTCACGTACGAAGACAAAGATGGTGACTGGATGCTTGTTGGTGATGTTCCTTGGAAGTAATTAGTCTCCTTTCCTTCTTCAAATAATAGCATAATAAAGTTGAAGTCTTTCCCCAGCCCGTTTCAGGATGGATATACTTACCCTTACAATCATCTTCTTCTGGTTTACCCTTATTACCAGGATGTTCATCGACTCCTGTACAAGGCTGAGGATCATGAAGAGCTCCGACGCCATTGGCCTAGGTACACCAAGTTGAACTAGATTATTGAACTATTCTCCTTGCACACTGATTAATTAATGTCACAGAGTGTTTCTACTTCTCTTTTTGCAGCACCAAGAGCGTTTGAGAAAGTGCAAAAGCAGTAACTAGCTTGACTGAATGCAGAAACCCTTATGAATACTGCTGCCAATTTGGATTTTGGTTCATGGATCCAAACAGAATGAGGATCCACACCACTTTTTTGTCTCTACTTTGGCATATTTATATATCTTAATATTGATCTATAGTGTTTGTATTAGTTTCAAAACTTGTTAAGTAAAACCCAAGTTTGCTTGGATTCAGATGTGTATTATTATTTGTGCTGATTTTCCTGGATATCATCATAAATGTGCTCCCCCCTTCTGCCTGCAATTATTATTATTGTGTGTAAAGTTTTGTTTCTTTGCTGCAGCTAGTAGCCTCTCACACTCACTCTTCTTTGCCCTTTTCTCATCTTTTCTTTTCCCCCATTTTTCTGCCTTTTGTCCCTCACTGTGGGCTGTGAAAAGAAGCAAAAGGAAGTGAGAGAGGGAGGTGAATGGGAAGGTGGATGGTTGTTGGGGGACAAATTCAATTGCCAAAAGCCCACCAAATGGGGTATAGTCTACTCTAGTGCAGTCTAATACTGGAGAGAGTTGATGGATGGATGGATTGATTGATTTGATAGGCGGCTGCAATGTGGTGCAGAATTCTTTCTTTTCTTCTTCAGGAACCAATGGAACCGAGGCAGCCAGGGTGCTGTTGTTTGTCTCAATATGTGAATGGTTAAAAGGGTTGCTGTTACTGTAGACAGAGCTGTGAATGATTGTGGAAGTGAAATTTCTCTGTCTGGTGGATTCATGAACGATCTTTGTACAAGGGGGAAATTGATGTGATGTGGATGAATGAGTCTTCAATGGGGCTGTAAATGAAATGAAACGAGGTTTTGGCTCCATTGTTCAGGGGAT